ATTAAATAAATTTCTTAATGTTTGAATAAAATGTAATAGAAAAAGAAAAGGGTTTAGAATGTAATTTTTAAAATTCACAATCTTTTGGAATAATTAGATCAGATAAGAACACACAAAATATAATAAGTCTCATTTGCTAAGTTGGTTATAATATCTCTCAAATACATTGTTAAATTAATATATAAAGTTAAGATAATAAATAAATTTAAACAATATCGTCAATCATTACTAAATTAGAAGCAATACTTAAAAGACTTAAATGTTATAAGACTTTATTAAAATCAAATTATGTTAGCGCTTATTAATCAATTAATAGAGATGTATTAATATTTTTATAAAAGCATAAAATAATAAAGAAATTAAACTTTAAATAGTATATAACAAAATTAAATTCAACCTAATTAAAAAATTTGAATATCATTGACCGAAAAGCTTTATAATTAAATAAATATGCAATTTAAAATAAAAGAGAAGAATTAAAAATATACATGAATTAAGGTAAATTAGTTAAAATAATTAAATAAAGCACTTTCTTTGGATAAAATTAACAGATTTGAAGGAGCTTTATAAGAGTAAAATTATGTATAATAAAAAAATCTAAAAAATTTTAGATAATAAATAAATATTAATTAAAATAATAAAATAAAGATACTTTGAATAAATTAAACAGATTTCAAGAAGCTTTATAGTATTGTGATTAGGAAATTTAAAACAATCCTGAAGAATATAGATATTATCATTTTAAAGGTACAATAATAAAAATGATAAAATAAAGCATAGATATTGGATAAATTAAAGAGATTTGAAGAAGCTTTATAATAGTATGATTATGCAATAGAAAAAAATCCTGATGATTATAAATTATACAATAATAAAGGTAATTTAATTATAATAATAAACAAGCACATATTTATTTTTAAATAAAGAGATTTTTAGATGCTATATAATATTATGATTTTGCAATTTAAAAAAATCCTGAAAATTCAATATTATACTTTAATAAAGGTAAATTAAATAAAATAATAAAATAAAGCAACTACTTTGGATAAATTAAACAGATTTGAAGAGTCTTTATAATATTTTGATTATGCAATTTAAAAAAATCCTGAAGATTCTAGTTATTTTAATGGTAAAGGTAAATAAATTAAAATAAATAAATAAAGCAACCACTTTGGATAAATTAAACAGATTTGAAGAGGCTTTATAATATTTTGATTATGCAATTTAAAAAAATCCTGGGGATTCTAGTCATTTTAATGGTAAAGGTAAATGAATTGAAATAAATAAATAAAGCATATACTTTGTATAAACTAAACAGATTTGAAGAAGCTTTATAATAATATGATTATGCAATAGAAAAAAATCCTGATGATTCACAATTATACAATAATAAAGGTAAATTAAATTAAATAAAAACATAAAGCAAATACTTTTATAAAATTAAACAGATTTGAAGAAGCTTTAATTTATTATGATGTTGCAATTTAAAAAAATCCTGAAGATTCAAAATAATACTTTAATAAAGGTATTTTAATAATAAAATAAAGCGCTTATTTTATATGAAATAAATAGAAATGAAGAAGCTTTAATTTATTATGATTTTGCAATTCAAAAAAACCCTGAAAATTCAATATATTTGAATGGTAAAGGTAAGTTAAATAAAATTATCAAATAAAGCACTTACTTTGGATAAATTAAACAGATATGATGAAGCTTTATATTATTATGATTAAGCTATTTAAAACAATCCTGAAGATTCAAGTTATTTTAATGGTAAAGGTAAATCATTAAAAATAATAAAATAAAGCAACTACTTTGGATAAATTAAACAAATTTGAAGAAGCTTTATAATATTATGATTATGCAATTTAAAAAAATCCTTAAGATTCAAAATTATACTTTAATTAAGGTTAATTATTTTAAATAATAAATTAAAGCACGTATTATGGATAAATTAAACAGATTTGAAGAAGCTTTATAATATTATGATTATGCAATTTAGAGAAATCCTGAAGATTCTATATTCTACAATTATAAAGGTAATTTATTTAAAATAATAAAATAAAGCTCTTACTTTGGATAAATTAAACAGATTAAAAGAAGCTTTATAATATTATGATTATGCAATATAAAGTAATCTTGAAGATTCATAATTATACAATAATAAAGGTAAATAAATAAAAATAATAAAATAAAGCAAATACTTTTATAAAATTAAACAGATTTGAAGAAGCTTTATAATATTATGATTATGCAATTTAAAAAAATCCTGAAGATTCATTTGCATACTTTAATAAAGGTAAAATAAATTAAATAATAAAATAAAGCAAACACCTTAACTACGCTAAATAGATTATAAGAAGCTTTATAATCTTGTGATTAAGCAATACAAAAAAACCCCGAAGATTTTAGATATTTTAATGGTAAAGGTAAAAAAAATTTTAATTAAATAAATAAAGCAACTATTTTGGATAAATTAAACAGATTTGAAGAAGCTTTATAATATTATGATTATGCAATTTAAAATAATCCTGACGATTCAGAATTATACAATAATAAAGGTAAATTAATTAAGATAGTATAATAAAGCAAATACTTTGGATAAATTAAACAGATTTGAAGAAGCTTTATAATATTTTGATTATGCAATATAAAGAAATCCTGAAGATTCAGAATTATACAATAATAAAGGTAAATTAATTCAAATAAGTAAATAAAGCACTTACTTTGGATAAATTAAAGAGATTTGAAGAAGCTTTATAATATTTTGATTATGCAATATAAAGAAATCCAAAAGATTCTAGTTATTTTAATGGTAAAGGTAAATAAATAAAAATAATAAAATAAAGCAACTTCTTTGGATAAATTAAACAGATTTGAAGAAGCTTTATAATCCTATGATTATGCAATTTAAAATAATCCTGACGACTCAGAATTATACAATAATAAAGGTAAATTAATTAAGATAGTATAATAAAGCAAATACTTTGTCTAAATTAAAGAGATTTGAAGAAGCTTTATAATATTATGATTATGCAATTTAAAAAAATCCTGAAGATTCAAAATTATACTTAAATAAAGGTAAATTCATTAAAATAATAAAATAAAGCAAATACTTTGGATAAATTAAAGAGATTTGATGAAGCTTTATAATATTATGATTATGCAATTTAAAAAAATCCTGAAGATTCAAAATTATACAATAATAAAGGTAAATTAATTTAAATAATAAAATAAAGCATATATTTTGGATAAATTAAACAGATATGATGAAGCTTTATAATATTATGATTAAGCAATTTAAAAAAATCCTGAAGATTCTGAAATATTCAATAATAAAGGTAAATTATTCAAATAATTAAATAAAGCAAATACTTTGGATAAGTTAAACAGATCTGAAGAAGCTCTATAATATTATGACTATGCAATTTAAAAAAATTTTTAAGCCTCTAGTTTTTACTAAAATAAAGGTAAATTTATTTAAATAATAGAATAAAGCACTTACTTTGTATAAATTAAACAGATATGAAGAAGCTTTATAATGTTATGATTAAGCGATGATTCATAATCCTTAAGATAATACTTATTATAAAGCCAAAGGTAAATTAATTTCTCATAAATATAGTTATGATTATAAAAAAAATGAATCTAATTAAAACTAAAAGGAAGCGCTGAATTTTTCATAATAATTAATATATTTAAAACAATAATATCTGTTTCAAAATGACCCTAAGGTTTACTAATTCGAAGTGACCGTTTCGCAGATTCATAATGTTAGATTCTAACCATTATGTTTTATGTGTTGATTAAAATTTTTATACTCCAGAATGTCTAGGTGGTTATAGTATCTACTGGAATCATCTTGTTGATCTCAGCTGTCTTGAAAGCAGCCAGACTAACATGATGAATGCTTTTTTGTGTGTTGCAATTTGATCATCAAAGTAAGTAAGATTTTTTGGATGAAACTATTTTTAATAAGAACTATTGACCTGTGTAGTAAATTCTGTTGTCATTGATTAAAAAATAAATATATTCGCTTATTTGAAAAAAAAATGTGAAATCAATAGATTAATTCGATCTAAAAAAAAAAGATTTGGATTTTAGCCATGTTATTTTAGATTTTTTGCCTTGTAATCATAAGTATTAAAGATCCATTAATTATAAGCTTTGATTATAATCATAACTTAAATTAACACTCAAAAAGTAGCATGAAAGAGTGAGGTCATTTTTAATCTCAACTATAGTTTCTACATCAATCTGTTATGAATTAATTAACTAAAGAATCCTGGATATCAATAGTTTTATTATTCACTCTAAAATTATTGACACCCTAATTGTTTCAATCTAACCTGTAAATACCAAGATTTTCTAAATTAAGTGATTGATAATTAAATTTTGATATTTCATTTAACTTGAAAAGTGCTTTCTGCCTCTTTTAATAAGGATTTTATCCTTTTTATTTACTTCTTGCCAAATTTTAAACAAACGATCTTTAATATTTTATATTTTTTTAATTCTTAAAAGCAATCTTATTTTTCAAATATTCAATATACATCTTTCAAATTAAAAACTGTGAGATTTTTTACTTCCAAGCAAAAAATTAAAACAATTTTGTTCAGTTTTAGTTTCTTGGTTATTTGATGAAAATTATGAACTTATATTGATTTAACTTTAATCTAATTGCTATAAAGTTATTTAAATTGTCTTCAAACTTAATAAATCATCAAAAGAAATATTGTTAAATTAGTAAATATCATCAAATGACTAACTCAAACGTTTCACTCATATCCTAATCTGATTTTCAAACTCTTAACAGATAATATCAATAATTTTTTTTTTAATTATTTGATAATTAATATTTATACATATAAAAAATAAGTGTTTCGAAAACGTAACACTAAACTTTTTTCAATTTAATGTTCATTTATATTTTATAAAATCTCATTGATTTTTTTTAGTAATTTGAATAGGGGCTAAAAGCTATTTACTATTTAATAATATCATCGATCACAAAAAAAGGAATTTGCCTAGAAATTGAACAGTTTTGAGTCAAGATTTAATTTCACCAAGGCAGCCAATTGAATAAGAAAAGTTGTTATTTTGATAATTTCCATTTAATAATTGTCTATTATTACTATATAAACATTCTATGCAAAAAGGCGAGCTTAAACATTAATTACATTCTATTGGACAATTAAAACATTGATTGGAATGTTCGTATTGTTTGATTGTACATATACATCCTAATTTAGATGAAGTATATGTTAATTTGCATGTTTAACAATCTATTTTTGATGTACATGTTTAACAAGATGATGGACAATCTAAACATCTGACTAAGTATTTATCATAATATTAATTGCTTAAACATTGTGTTTAAGAAAATTGAACAATGTTAGAATCATAAGGGTTTCATGAATTACATGAATATTAATCTAAACATGACTAACAATAAGGCTAGCAATTGTGAACAACAATATAATAATTATAGAATCCACAATAAGCCTTAACTGGTTCATTATTTGAACCATAGCAATCCAAAGTGATTGTTAATGTATTTGTAAAATGATTGATTCTGTCATATACTTTAATGTATTTTGAACCATCTAAATAAGAACCATGATTACTAGTACTTGATGTAGAAACAGCTGGATTATTTTCAATATTAAATATAAATCTACCATCTGCAGGGAATGATGGTCCAAAAAGTATATAAAATGCAATAGTGACACTAAGATGTGGAGATTAAATATGGTGAATTCTTTAGAATTTAGCTTAAGCCCATATAAAAGGTCCTCCAAAAACTGTAATTTCTCTATAATATGAATAATAGATATTCCTAATTAAATTTAAATTTAAGTTAATATTACATAATGTATATCTGATCCTTTTAAAAAGTTTGTTCCACTATGAGAGATTAAAGTATATTATCCATAATATTCAGGGTAGGTTGCATCATTTATATATTCTTAATTCAAATATTGAGAGTCTAAATATAATAATATAAGATACAAGGCGTTTAATTATCGTAATCAAACAATAAAGACCATTAGATTTCTGATACAGAGCTGAGCAATAGCTTATACAACTACCATCTTGATAAATATAGTATCTTTACAAGTATTACATTCAAATGATTTCACTCAATAAAATATCTCTTACTCTACATCGACCTATTAACAATTTTAAGAACAATATCCAGAAGTAATTTAGATTTCAAAAATTCACCAACCTACTG